TTGAGGTTTGACGGGTAGGTAGTCCTTGTTGCTCAAAAAGTGAAGGGGGTTTACGTGGTCAACAGGGTTGAGAAGGACACGTGCTTTCCTGTGAGGAAGCCGCAAACTGCGGAATCGCGGCACCGACGGTTGGGACACGCCGGATACGAAAACTTGGCGAAAATGGTGCAGGCCGACCTCGTGGAAGGGGTCAAGGTGAAACCGAGTGCGTTTAGGGCGCTTAAAACCTTGGTGTGCGAGCCCTGCATGATAGGGAAGCAGACAAGGTTCCCCTTCTCGGCCCCCAACTCGGTGAGCACGGAGCCTCTTGAGCTAGTCCACATGGACGTCCGCGGGCCAATGCCGGTAGCCTCATTAGGGGGAGGCCGGTACTCTGCCACGTTCTTGGACGACTACAGCAACTCTCGGTTGTAGTCCCCATGAAGCAAAAGAGCGAAGTGGCCAAAGTGACTTAGCAGACAATAAACCCGCTGGAGTTGCAATTGGGGAAGAAGCTAAAGTCGGTGCGGAATGACCGGAGCAAGGAGTACGTCAACAAGGCCCTTGAAAACGTTTTCGGGGGCAAGGGACGGTTCACGAGAAACCGCCCCCTACAGTGCCGAGCAAAATGGATCGCGGAATCGGCTCAATTGGGATTTGGAGGAGAATATTTGTGCAATGCTTGAGGACTCGGGCTTGCCCAAAGACTTGTGGGCGATGCCGTGGTGACGGCCAACTACACATGGAACCGGGCCCGTGAGCGCACATGGGAAGACCCCTTGGGAGGCGTTCTTTGGTGAAAGGCCGAATGTCGGGCATATGAGGGTATTTGGTGCTGTAAGTACGGACCGTGCTGACGTCACGCCGACGTGACAAGTCCCGTACTTAAACCAAGCGCGCTATCAACTGGACTTACTCGCGAGTATTAGGCCAGTTGGTAGCGCGCTTGGCTTAAGTACGGGACTTGTGACGTCGGCGTGACGTCAGCACGGTCCGTACTTACAACAGCGCGCACTTTCACAAACGGGCTAAATTGAGGGCAAATTTGAAATTGTGCGCAAAAACAGGGCAGAGCCGGAGAAGATTGAGGAGGATACCGGGATGCAAACACCGGCTGCCATGAGGTACCGCGCGCGCGAGAGACGCGCACCAACGGAGTGCTACCGCATTAAATTGGTGACGGAACCGATGGCGGGGGAGCACCCCAAAGGGAGGGGGGAAGCACCCAAAACCCGCAGATCTATCAAAAAGCCGTGGGGAAGAAGATTGATGATTTATGACGGAGATCGAGGACGATGGGATGCGGTTTTTGTTGGAGAACGGGATTGGGGAGCTCGTTAGAAACCGGAAGGGGTGTTGCCGGTTCTCACGAAGTGGGTTTACAAATTCAGCGGGACGCTTTCGGAAATGTGGAGCGGTACAAATCGGCAGTGGTGGCAAAAGAGTATCTACGAAAGCCGGTAATTGACTTTCAGAAAGTCTACACCGAGTGAGAAAGCACACGACTTTGCGTGCGCTATTGGCGATGGTCGCGGCGCGTGACTGGGAGCTGTTTCATTTGGACGTCAAGACGGCGTTCCTAAATGGGGAACTGCTGCAGGAGAACTACATGCAACAGCCGCAGAGATACGAGCAAGGCGGGCCCAACATGGTCTGCCGCCTCAAGCGCATCTTCTACCGGTTGCGCCAGGCGCCGTGGTGCATGGCACATGCGCCTGAAACAGGAGCTCGGAAACTTTGAGTTTGTGGCGTCAATGGCGGACGCGGCGCTCTTCACCGAAATAGCAGCGGGGGAGCGGGTCTACCTACCTAGTGGTATAGTTGGACGACCTCCCAATGGCGGTCCTGGGAGATGGACCGCATTGCAAAGGTGAAGAGGTGAAGGGCGCTTTTGGCCAAGAAGTTTGACGTGCGAATTTTAAGGAGGCGAAACACTCCCTCGGCATAAAGCTGACGCGCGATAGACAGGCGCGCAGTCTAAAGCTAATGACGGGAGAGGAAGTTGGACGGTACAGACTAGCGAATTGCTTGGGCGCGCAGCATCCCTCTCGGGACGGGGGGCAAATTGACGAGAGAGGCTGAGCCCCTCAACACACAGCAATTCCCTACAGTGAGTGCGTGAGAAGCCTTTTGTACTTGTCTGTCTGCACTAGCCCGACACAATTGCATAGGCAGTGGGCGCGCTTGCGCGCTTTATGGCGGGGCGGGCGGAGGAGCACTGGCGGGCGGTGCTTGGAGTTGTGCCCTATCTAGCGGGTACGTTGGGGTAGAAGGAGGCGGTGAGCCAGTTGAGTAGGCTGCAGCCAATGGTGGCGTCCTCAACGGTAGAGGCAAATACATGAGCGCAGCGCAAGCGGTGAAGGAGGCGCTGTGGTTCCGCAAGCTGGGGGAGATCGAGACGGTCCAAATCTATTGCGACAACCAGGATACAAAACGGCTCCTCAAGCACCCAATCGGTTCACAATGGTCAAAGTACATTGACGTGATCATCACATTGCACGGTACGTGTGGCACGCAAGGAGGTCGCGTTCGCGCAGTGCAGGACGAAGGCGGACATCATGATCAAGGCGTTAGCACCGGGGAACTTCTAAGTGTGCAAGAGCGAGACAAGAATTCCTTGAGTCATTTGCATGTGGGGTAGTGTTGAGATCCGGGATTCGATGTGCGCGATCTCTTGGGTGACGTCGACGGGAGTTCGACGGAAACCGGTTAGCGGTGTTGGGTGGGCGGATTACTAGGCTAAGTAAGCCCGAATGTCCTACATTAGTTCGAAGCCGTTCGATTCAGGTTTAAGGTCCGATTGTCGACGTCACGAATTGCGAGTCAGTTGTTGAGTTTTATCGCCCATATCGACGGTAGGATGCATGTCCCGTGGTGGTCCAGATTGGCTCAATTTGGACCAAGTGACGGTTAGATCGAGTATCGATGGTTTGATTTGTAGGTGTCCGAATTTGGAGTCAAATTGAGGCAGCCGTTGGATTGGACATCGTCGCGTTAGAGAAATTGGTACGAAATTGGTTGATATAGGAGTAGAATCAATTTCAGAGAACCGTGGATCGGAATTAGACTCATATAAGCCGTAGGTTAGTGGGTAGGGTCGGAACCCGTGGTCACTAGGGTAGCTAGTTCCGAGTCCTAGCTATGATCTTGAACAATAACACGCTGTGTGCACTCATTCCTAGTATTTGTGAACTTCAAAAGCGCTTGCTTTCAACAGGTTATGTCCCACGACGCTAGGAAGTGGGAACGGTAGTAAGCCGCTGATAGCAACGACAATTCTAGGTTGGTGAAAGGTATTCCAGTGGGGGCTAAAGGAGTGGAGTAATACTCTATCTCGCGACGCTCGTAAAATTTCCCACAAACCTTTTTCGGCACAAAGGAGTGCCCAGCCCAAGAAGCGTTAGTTGGCTAGCGATGAAGATGGTTGAAGGAGTTTTGGAAAGGGGTCACGGATCCGGCCGGTGATGCGGAGAGGACCAAGGAAGCAAGAGGTTTGAGAGGCTTGCACGTCCGGCAACAGCACCTAGGGGCAATCTTAGCAGCTCGGAATGCCAAGGTAGCTTGAAATGCGTTGAAAACTAGCTACAAGAGCAAGAGTGCGGCTCGGAACTTGCAACTTCGGCATGAGTTGAGCACCCTCAAGATGCACTCCGGTGAGTCCGTTGCCGCCTATGTGCGTAGAGCCCGGGATTTGCTAGCCGTCGGCTCCAACATGAAGCTGGATGATCTATCCTTTAGCGTGCTTGCCGGGTTGACAAACCGGTTTGAGGGGGTAGCAACGGTGTTGACAGGCTAGTACCACCCAAATCGAACACCCTGTCACTAGCCTGCCACGAGCATCATAATAATTGTTTTTTTATTTCCCTCTACATCCTATTGAAATACAGGGGACCGAATATCTGATAATCCTAGGGTTTTAGAATCACAACGTCGACGGTCATTTGACTGTAACTAGTAGCTACTATGATAGGGTTAAGTGCGCAAGGATTCAACATTACATCCGAATGACTTGGCGATAACCGTCGACATTGTGTAGGTTCAAATGATCATAGGCGTCGAGGTACGATGTAGAGTGAGATGTTTAAACTTACTAAGTTATGGTCCACAGAGCCTACTAGATAGATGTAGAGATAGGCCGTAACCCAAAACCCTCCACATACAGGTGAACCTCAATGGTATAATAACACCTCAAACAACGCAGTGTTTGAGAGGGTTATGGGCCCACGGCACTAGGGAGGAACGATCAACCAAAGGTGCTCTCCGCGTCGTGACAACGTTGGTAAAAAAAGCGGTCTTTTTAACTCGCAGCCATTCGATAGGGTGTTGTAAGAGTATAGTCCAGCTGGTAGCGCGCTTGGTTTAAGTACGGGATTTGTGACGTCGGCGTGACGTCAGCACGGTCCGTACTTACAACAACTTCACGCTTAGCTAGAAATTACTACGTGAAGCTTATCTAACGACAATAGTTTTGAGAGTGATCTAAGTTGCTCAAAAAGTAAGGCTTTCCATGCTTCTTTAAGAGTACGTTTTGCGAGTTGCCAAAGCGGAAGCGGGCAACGAATTATTGCTACAAATGTGATGTTCTATTTGTATCGCTTCCCCTTACAACTAGTAAACATCTTTAACCCAGAATCTACCACGTACCACCACTTCAAAGTCTCCGTTCGCGGCCTTCGTCTGATGATGCAAGAAAATCTACAGTTAACGTGCCAGGAGGCGCCAAGGTTGAGAACCTAATCATTGACATCGCTTACTCGCCTTCGCGCTGTTGCTGCACAGAGGACCGGAAAGGGGCATCTTAGCTCGAATATTTCTAAACGTTTGGACGTTCCACTACCGGCTGTAGCTTTCACGACATACTTGGCTACCATTAGAAAAGCGTCTACTCGTCATTGCGGAGAATTTCAAGGATCCTATCAAGATGAGGAACAGCAGCTAGACGCCTCGCAGGGACCTTTATTTCCGTCAGAGCGCGGAACTTGATCGTGCCAACCTTCGGCGACTCCGGCCAAATGGAAGAAAACGAAACTCTTAAAGCGAGGTAGAAAAGTCGAAGGACATGACTTCAGACGGGTCAACTTGACGTCAACGCCCTTCAGGTCAGATCGAAGCAAGCTTGTCGAGAAGCGGCCGAATCCGATCATGAGTTCGCGAGCAGGTCTGGCACTCAAAACTTTTCGATTGAACGTATGGTGCTTCATGTCAAGAAACTAGCTCCCAAATTAAAGCATTGGTGTCAATCCCTTGGACCAACCAAGGCCAAAGACTGTGATCATCAAGTGCAATCCACTTGGGCTTTCAGTCCGAGACAAGTTCGTCCAACCTTCCGACTAAGACAAACGCAAAGCTTAAGAAACGCTTAATAGCTTAGCGTGCTGTGATATCAAAACGACGGTACTTTGCTTCTTGCTAAGGCTGTCGTCACTAGCCATTGTGGAGCAGGTATGGTCCTTAATCGCACCGCATTCCGTGATGTCGTGGATTATGAGCGAAAGGCGGCGGTTGAACACTCCGTTGCCTATCATTATGCCGTCAACGAGCATGATGTAGTCCTTGTTGATCACGCCTTCGGTCATCGTGGCCAGCTGGTCTTGAGGCAAAAGCTCAAAGAACGCCTCGATCGACTGCATGCCGAGCAACTTTGCAGCGCAGGCGCAAAGATTGTGCCATGGCACTTCTGATCGTCCTCTGCAGCACACAATCGGAGGAAATTGTAAGCGTCAGCTTCTTGACGACGTGTGAAAGCGAAGTAAAGCTATGCACACGGAAAGGACGGTTGTGCCTGATACTGCTTGTCGCGTTAAAAGCGCATGTTCCTTGATACGTTATGATAGCCTGATATTCGCGACTCCGACTGACAAGTCAGTGTGAGATTGAGTTGCTGCAGACTTGATCAGGCTCCGATCCAAACACGATCCATAATCGATTTCGTCGGGCAGGAAAGAGGCTTTTCATTTGTCACCGCTGATGATTTGACAGGGCCTGCTGAGGAGCAAGTCGATGGCATTCTGGTGAAGTCATCGCAGCCACGATCTAGTCACGGCAGCAAGGGAAAAACTCACCGAACTCAAGGCCGACCTTCAGGATCGCCGAATTGCAAATGCCGCTGGTGTGGCCAGAAACACAAGCGGACTCGCGGATGTCGGTTCCTGCGTTGTACACAGACTTCACCTTCTTGCCGCAGTCCAGGCAGAGACAGAGCGGCTCCACCGAGATCGACGCGATCTTCCCTGCTAGATACATGAAGGCAATTTTGCACCAGAGGAACTTAGATGGTTTGTGGCATACCTAGTTTTTGCTCTAAGACGATGGAGCTACCAGATGAGAGAGCGAAGCGCGCAGTAATAGGGCGGCCCGTATTCTAACTAGGCGTGGTTTACGAAAAAATCCAGTTTTTAAAAGGTGGCAACCTCACTCTTCTGTTCTTGAGAAGTCTTATTGACGAATCGGAACGGTCGACGAAAACCGTTTGAAAAGTGATGGATGCGGACGATCAAGTACGTTTTGAAAGAAGCACAAGTTTGAAGCGACGCTCATATAAAGAGGGGCATCATGTTGCTGGCAAGGATCCCACTCCTCTGAATCCACAACCTCAACGACAAGAGGACGGAAGCCGAACATTGATTGTACCGGCTGGTAATACCTGGAAGATTCTACGGGCGGAGCGTTCATACGTTAGATTGCTTGGGTCCTCCATGTCCCTCGTGTCGACGACGACCTGCTCGAAGCTTCCATATGGCACATGGTGGGTCTGGCATGACGCTTGGATTCCGATGCGCCTAGTTTCTGTCGCGGCTATTGGAACGCGAGCGCCTCCCTAGTAGCTCACAAAGCCTCACTGTGCGTAGGTCACCATCAAGCACTCTACACGTTGATGTGACGCACACAATCTGATGCGGACTGACTTTCTTCTGGGATTGGATCACAAGCGCCGTGTGACTAGATCAACGACGAGAACTTTCAATCAACATCTCAAAGCACTTTGCACATAAGAGAAAATTTCAAAGATCATTTGGAGGTGTTAGAAAACACCAGGTTTTGTTGACGCAGGAATAAAATATTTAGTCCTCAACGTCAAAGGATTCGCCCAAGAGTGGGGGCCACTGAGTGGCCCCTGGGCTGGGTACAGTCCATTTGACCGCATGAACCACTTTGTTAGGCAGCGGATCCGACTCTCGCATTCCACTCTGCTTGCGGATGATCTTGTACACAGTCTTCCGAAAGTTTGCAGCACGATCAGCGGTTGCAGTTTTGTCTGGAAGGATCGCCATTGAAGCCATTATGATGGCTTTCTCCACACGACCAAGGTTCGTGCCTTTTAAAAACTCATCCACAATGGGACGCCAAAGACCACGCCGTCTTTCGAACCAAGCCTTGTCCAGCAACTTCCAATCCCTGCCAGCATTCTTGGTCTTGAAAATGTTCCCACGCTTGGTAACTTTGACGATGGTAGTATGCTTTATGAACACCATCTTGCACCCCATTGCCGCTAAACTTTCCATGACGGGCTTCATGGTGCTTTGGTGACGCCGCAGTGTGGGGTTTTGGATAGCAGCTCGTCTTTAGCTGGAAACGCTTCGAATGGCACCTTCTTGCTCAGATTACAGTGTAAACTCTACTAAGTAAATGTCCACTTCACCTTGATGAGGTCTTCAACTTGGATGCCGCCGGTTCTGACCGAGCGAATCTCTTTGGCACTAGCTTGCAGAAGTTTGAATTCAAAGTTGAGCTGGCTGGTTGCGGCGAATAGTTCCCCGACGTAGTGTATGTCGAACCAACTGTCCAAGTACTGGCACTGTAGATCCGACGGTCTAGCATAGATTATCGAGGTTCGGAATTGGCGCGCATAAACATCTCGTCAATCATTGCCCGACACGGATTTTTGATCCCCCAGGCCGACTGTTCTCCGGCTGGAGACTTGAACCGGTCACCTTCGGACATCAAACACCCCAGAAAGACCCCGGTTCTGTACGTCGCATATTCCGCCAACGCCCCTCGACTAGTCGGCCGAGACTCGGAGGCATTGAATTCCGTCGGTCGAACACGATCGAGTCTGTCGGTATCAGGCTACCGTACAAGATCGTACAAAATCGTCCATCCGTACAAGGCTGCCGTCTGTCCGTACAAGTTCGTCTTGCCCGACGAATGTCACGTTCAAGCACCCTCGTGCATGTCAAAAGAACGAACTTCGAGGGACTATCTAGAAGCGCAAGCGTTCTCATGGCGCGCACAAAGCAAACTGCGAGGAAAAGCACATGAGGCGGGGCGCCAAGGAAGCAACTGGCGACAAAAGCCGCCCGCAGGTCAGCTCCAACCACTGGGGGAAATAAGAAGCCACACAAATATCGTCCAGGCACCGTCGCTTTGCGGGAGATCAAGAAATACCAGAAGAATGTTGAGAACCTGATCAGGAGGCTCCCATTCCAGCGCCTGGTCAGGGAGATCGCCCAGGACTTCAAGAGTGACTTGTGAGTTGTGCATTGCTGGCGCAAGGTCTTGTCAAGCTCAGACGTGGTTTGCCATGGTTTGCAATAAGGTGGAGCTCAACAAGGCATTGCATCTCTGATCTCAGTTCATTCCACAGCGGCGTTGAGAGGCAAGCGCTTGCGTCTTTTCAGGTGCCGTGTTGCTGTGTTCTTTCCTGAGGTTTGACTGTCTGAAGAGCTGAGGTGGTTGTTGAAGTTAAGATGGAGCCTTGTTGAAATCAATATCTAGCCAAGAAGGAGCGTGCTCACTTGCTGGGTTAGTTAGCAAGTGTGTTTCCCTTCACCTGTTTCTTCATGGAAGCACGTGGCGCTTGTCCTCCAGTAATGACTCCGTGCTAGGGTTTACCTGATTCTAGGCGCCAGGTGCATGTCAGGATCGTCACCTCTCCTTGAGTCTAGATGGCGCCTGACTTCCTATAACTCCAACATTGGACGTATTATCGGACCGCGAGCGCCGGGCCATGACTGATGTTAGGGTTCCTTCTCTCAGTACTTTAGTACTCCCGCTTGCAGGCGCTTTCAGGGGCAGGCGATTCTTGCACTCCAGGAGGCGGCCGAGGCCTACCTTGTGACGATCTTCGAGGACAGCAATCTCTGTGCCATCCACGCCAAGCGAGTGACCATCTTGCCCAAGGACATTCAGCTGGCAAGAAGGCTCAGGGGGGAAACACGGGTTTGAGCGTCGCCTGTAGAAATCAGTTGCTTTCTTGCTCAGGTAAAAACTAGCCTGAGAGACACAAGACTGCATTGATAATTACATCCTTCATACTTGTGTTTGCATTGCTTTGCCTTCGTAGCCAGTCTCAGGAATGCCCACTTAGATAATGGATGGTCATGAATCAGACTTGTATGCTCAAAGCACTGCCAATGGATGAAGTTGCGGAGGCGAATCATTTTGGAAAAAGGAATTGACGTACCCGGCCAGAATGCAATCTCGACTTTCTTTCGGGCTACAAGCTCACAGTCCTAGGTACACAATGTGAACCACCTGCAACATTCTATGCGTGTTCAGCATGAGTTGAGTATGTGATTCATCACTACTACGATCGTATTTACATGTCAGCATTCATGTTTTGCAGTTTGCATACTCGCGCTCCATCATGGCCCCGAAGCGCCCGGCTAAAGTGGCAGCTTCCGTCGAATCAAAGCCTCCGCAACGGAAGAAGGTCGCCGGGGAGAAGGCTGACCAGACCGGCAGGCCGCCCCCTGAGAAGCTGGGGCCGGAAGCATACCCCGAGCCCCCCGAGGCCCTCTTTGACGCCCGCATCGACCTGGCTGCTACAATTGCAGCCAATGCTGCGGCACTTTATGGCGATAGCGCGATCAAGAGGCACCTCCAAGAATGGCGCGGGTTTGCGGAGAGGCAGCAAACCCAAGACGGGCGTGTGGCGGTCCGGGTTGTTGCCGCCTTCGTGGAAGGAGAGGGGGCGTTTGGAGCAGAAGTGGCGGCCTTAGGCGGCGGAGATTCGGGTGGGGCGGGGACAAGCGAGGCAGGTGATATGAGGGCGCCCGCGGAAAAGATGCACTTGCGGTGCAAGAGCATCGGGGACCTCATGGCAGGAGGACCAGTGGGTCGAGAACTAGTGCCATTGGGGGAAGGCGATAGGCTTAGGGGGGGTTTCCGACCTTAGGGACTAAAACATCGAAATCGAATCACTTGCCTAAGCCTAAGGTTACCCCGATCACTTACAGCGTCAACCGGGCACTACTTAGGGACCTGGGTGCCGACTGTGCGCTCAATTCCCTAAGTACGAAGGTACACCGTCGAAGCTTAGGGAAATTGTACGCCAACCGGGACCTAAACGCCTAAGTTCAGTGCACTGCCCCGAACACTACTGCACATCTGCTCAAAGGCACGAGGGTGTCATGCAACGCAGAGCATGAGGACACACAAGTATGGAAGGGAGGCAGTGTCAGGAAGGCTATGCAAGGAGACACGTACTGCAGTCAGGAAAAGTGCATCTAGATTCCTGGGTCATTTGCTGCGTATGTTGCAGACGCTGGACCGCAAGGTTCGGTAGGTGGGACAAGCTACGTCCGACGGCTCTGGACCCACTAGAACTTAGGGCCTAGGGGTGAAGGTCCTCACTTATCGGAGAATTCTCGATACCAAAGCGACGGTCAAGATTGAACATGGACCGCAAACTTTGGTAGGTAGGGATCCGCTCCATCCGACGGATCAAGACCTTTTAGATGTAAGGACTTAGGTAGAGAAGCTCCGCCCCATCGGAGCCCTTCCCGACTTTGAAGCAACGGTTCGAATTCGGTACCGCAAGATTTGGTAGGTAAGGACCCGATCCATCGGACGGCTCTAGACCTTCTAGACGCAAGGACCTAAGTCGCAATGGTCCCCCTCATCGGAGCATTTCCTGGACCGTAAGAACGGTTCAGATCGATTCTGGACCACAAATTCTGGTAGGTAGGGAACCGCTTTATCCGACGGACACCAATTCTCAGCCTCAGGACCTAGGTCGCGAAGTACCGCCCCATTGGAGCCATTTTGCCAAATCAGAACGGTTCAAACTAGTTCGAACCGCAGGGTCGGGTCCATCTGCCGGCCTTTGACTTAGTAGACCTCATAAGGAACTAGGTCGCGCAGGTCCGCCCCCATCGGAGCCCTTTCTAATTTGCAAGCAACGGTTCAGATTTCATCTGGACCACAGGGTGATGTAGGTGGGGACACGCTCCATCCGACCGCTTCGGACTCTATGGAAGCCAAAGACCCTAGGTCCGCGAATGGTCCGCCCCATCGGACCATTCGCCTAACCCAAGGAAGGGTTCATGTTAGAATTAGACCGCAGTGTGTTTAGGACCCACTCTATCCGACGGTTCTTATCTCATGAGAATATCTCATGAGATCGTTCGGACCTAGATCGTGACGGTCCACCTCAGTGGACCAAAGGAACGGTTAACACTTCAATCTGGAGCACAAGGTAAGAGGAAAGGACCTGCTCCATCCGACGGCCTCAATTTGATAAGACCTCAGGATCTAGGTCGCAAAGGTCCGCCCCATCGGAGCATTTTCCTTACCCAAAGGGACGGTGCAGATTTAACTTGAACAGAAGGTCAGGTAGGTAGGTTTACAGTCCATCCGACGGCCTTTTAACTCATGAGACTAATAAGGACCTACGTCGTCAACTGGCTGCTGGACAATAGGGTGTGCATAAGACGTGGCTGACGAGAGCTGTCTCGATGTCTGTTGAGAGTGACCTTCTGGCACACAACATTTCCTACGTATGTTCGCAGCTGTGACATCAACCGCCGTTTGAGCAACGAGTCTGGTTGGCGGCTGTTGGCATGGTTAAGCAGAGCTTCCCTGCCAAAAAAAACTTGACGATAGGGCAATCAAGTTTGTCAAGGCGTGTTATATTCAATAGCCGCTCACGAACGCAGAACACACAAAGCTCTCAGAGTGGTCCTAGGGAAGCTAAGTTGACATCTCACTTTGAAAAGCTTATAGGCATCTGGCTGCTACCCATGTATCAGCGCACGTGACCTGACCAATATTTCTTGCAGTTTAGCGCTTATTGGCTTCCCCTTTTTAACTGGCTTCTATTCCAAAGATGTTATTCTTGAATTAGCATATACAAAGTATACAGTAAGCGGCCATTTTGCATTTTGGCTTGGTAGCCTTTCTGTTCTAACCGCGCTGACTCGTAGCGAGAAGGCACCAAGACAATAAAGAAAACCAGAAATCACTATGATTCTCATAAAACACCAGAAATTGATCTGTAACATTACTCGATTCGCGCACACCTTTCCTTGGTTAACGCATAGCTTAGGGAAAAAGCCTATAAAGGCACACACGCTGTACCTGCGAAATCAGGAGATCCAAGGAATGCATCCCTCGAGATCACGTTACTGGGAGCCTAGGACATTCTGGGCGGCTGGAAAAGTAGCAGCAGCCTTGCCTTCTGCTCATTGTACCGCAAACCTATGCGTGCTACCTCCTGCCCAACTGCTCGCTATCTGGGTCGAGCCCCAGGAAGCGAGCGTGGGACCCAGCCTTGGGCCCGGTTGCTGCCATGTTCGTCAGCTGGCGGCCCTTTGTGTTTTCCTCAGCCTGCTGCCTACGCAGTCAATCCAGATTGCCCGCCTGCTCCACCAGTCCCTCATCTATTGAAAACTACTTAGGGATAGCCGGATGGACGGCGGCACTTGTTGGTCTCTCGGCCTGCCTCACCAGAGCTTCTAGGACCTGCTCTGCTACTAACTTGTGGTTGCCCCCAAGATTGACCGGGGCAATCCGCTCCGGGTGCCTTACGTCCACGTGTTCAAGTTCGAACCAGCCCCCAGGGAAAGCCCCCTGACTGGGCAGGTAAATGAGGCAGGATGGCGGCTCTGCGCTCGCCTCCGGAATTTGTGTTGGACTGCTGAGAGGCCCTATGAGAAGGTTGTCATGTTGGGGGCTTGATGCAGTGGTTTTGAGCTCTCTCTGGTTTACGAGGCCTGCAAGGCACTCCCTTTTCGGTTTGTCGCTCGTTGTGCAGGATTTGACTGCTTTGTCGAGCCCCAACATGCCGCTATTACCTCGAGAGGAAGTCAAGTCACCTACTCCGTTTCCTAGGGACAGCAACCGACTGTCGAGAGCCTGTAACACGGCTGCTCTGGGGTCTGCTTGCCGGCAGGGGCCCCCACTTGACCGAGCTCCCGAAGCGAAGCTGTGGCACTGTGATGACGGTGGCCGGAAAACCGAAAACAGGTCGGAAGGGGATTGAGCAGCCGCGATGACATTCCTGGAAGGTGGATAGACAGCCGAGTCAGCTGATGACAAGACCGGAAGAGGAGCCCATCCTGAGAAATCATTGACGGGGGCTCTGAAGCAGAAAGGGTTGACTACGGCCACATGAGAAGGCATCAGATTGTTCAAACGGGAACACGAGAGCCTCCAAGTCCTTAAGCAGGATTCGAAACCCAGGCCTTGCTATAGCGGCAATTGATCATTAAGTGCAAAGACTCGATGCAGAAGAGCCTTAGAATGCCAGGTCTTGTCCTATAACGTCACCGCCCACTCGCAGCAATACTTCCCCGCCCTGTCGCCGCAATCTCAGCATGTTCGCCTAGGGCGCGGCTCACCTGTGCAATCGCATGTGTCCTCCCAGGGCCTGGGGGTACGCAAAGTGCGCCCCACACAGGTTGCACCCGTACGGCCTCCGTCTCCCCTCTAGCAGATCATTCTGCGGGTTCTGCCAGAGGCCAGTAGGCCGGTCGGCCGACTGGTCCCGCAGGCTGACTGGCTCGTCAAGCAGCGAGAGGTCTGCGAACGACAGCGAACACGGTCAGGTCGACCACAGGTCCCCCAGTTCGAGACCCTAGAAAGGCAGCTACAAACGAGTCTGGGCCCGAGTCGACCGCAGATTCTGTCCAACTCGAGTCACGTTGTGAGACTTGTCGGAATTATGTGGCAGGTTTGGTACCCAGACGGCATGAAGCATCCATCTGTCCAAGCCGTGTCTGACTTTTCCGAGAGCGTTTATACCGGGAGCGACCTCAGATACACACCTGAGCAAGCACTCACTGTCAGACCTCCATCCTGCGACTCCTGCCTCCTTATCTTATAAGCATGCACCTTCAACGGCACTGCTGAGTACTGATTTGAGAATCAAGGGCCAACTATCCAAAAATTGAGCATGGTTTCCTCAGTTGGCAGAAATCAAGGAAGTCGTATTCTTGACGACTAAAGACCCTCGAAAATCTAAGTGACGCCACTTTCATTACACAAAATGCAAGCCTTGTCGAGTGCCCGTCGCTGACAGTCTCCTACGCAGTTTAGATTCCGGTTCCAATCTGTGAGAATTCCAAAATAAAGGCTTACGAAAATGCAGGGCCCAGTCGACAGGCCCCTCAAAGTGCAATTGCCATACTCAGAAGCAATCAATCAACGCTCCAGTTTTGCTGCATTGCTCTTCCGAACGCCTTGGAGACAGGCCTACCCATGAGGACAATCAATGGCATAGTCAGCTCACATCCTGACGAGCAAAGCCAGAGTTCCACGCTTTCCGCTTCACCGGATTCTCTGAAGCCCCACAATTCCTTTGCCCCAGACACGTAACCGGCCCCTCTGCTCGGTAGCCTCCACGCAGGCGGTCACCTTTGAAGTTGCCTACCCGCTCAGCTGCGCCCTGCTGCCCTGCAGCATCATTGAGCGCCAACCTGTTTCCCGTTTCTACAGGGGTCTCGTCACCCTCTCCTCTGCTCCCTGGCATTCCCTCCTCCGCCGAACTGGCAGTGGCCCCTTTCTGCAAAGCATGCTTGGCTGCGCCCCTTCTTGCTTCCTCTTTTCCCGTCTTGGCAGCCCCAGCAGGATTCCTCTCCGCCTTCCTTGGTCATGGCACCCCAGTCAACTTTGCTGCATTGGCACCCCCAGAAATATGCTCGAGATCATCATTGTTCTCTCTCCCCACTGGCCCCTCCCCATTGGGTCCTGACTTGTCTTCCCGCTCTTGGTTTTGATTGGTTCTGTCCTGATTCTCTCTGCCAGGCTCGCTTGCCCCCTTCCTTTTCAGGGGTGCGTCTGTTGGGCCTGCCACTTCACCTCGCTCGTCTAAGGGACTTTCCGGCTCTCCTTTTGAACGACTTTGGCTTGGCCCACCACCCCCAATAGCGCGTATACCTCCCCCCCTGTGAACGTCCAGCTTGTGCGTGCTCTCCTCCTCTTGCGGCAGCTTCTCTAGGTCAACTTCAGAGAACGGCCTCAGTTCGGCACTTTGCAAGCACCCAGGCTGGGCCACCTCGATTCCCCCATGTACTGAGCTGGCAGTCCCTGCTTGTGGGTCTGACTGACATCAGGCGTGGCATTGCTGAATGTCCTTGCTGGGCCCTCCCTGGCCCAGCAGAGCCACCCATCCAAACAGTCTGGCTGCGTTCTCCTGTTCTCAGCAGGGGCTGGCTTATCTGCACGACCGGTACCACTTTGTGGTGGAAGTGGCCTGACTCAGGGCGCTGCGGCTCAGTCAAGACCCGCTGCCGCAAGTATGTCATGAGAAGAGCACGGTCCGGCCAGGCTCCAAGGAGCATACTCTGCGGGAGCTGGCTTGCAATCTCCCACCTGGGGTGGCTGATCGTCTCCGCAGGAACTGGGGCAGGGACACTCGCATGTGGCAAGGGTGCACGAGGGTGAGCTAAAGAATGGCGTTGGATAGCTGGAGCGACCAATGCCTGACTGGCTGCCTGCTCCTTGAAGAAGCCAAGTCTTAGAGAGTGCAACATTGGTGTATTGAGCCCCATCTGGCTTGCGCTTTTGGACTCAACCAAGTCCGAGAGGTACAGCTCTGTGTATGCAGCATGCGTTCTCACAACTTCTGCTTGCTGAGGGACCTGGGCCCAATGTGTATTTTCTTCGAGCTCGCTTCGAAGGATGCTCTGATGCTGCTTGCTCCCCATACGAATCCCTTGTCTCGAGCACGTGCACTACTGCGTCAGAAGCTGAGCTCGTTTGAGTTGCCTGCTCTTTGGCCAGCTTGGAGTCTGAGCTCTTGCACCTTCCTGGAACCTTTTCATCATCACTTTCAAAGTTCCACCATGGCCGTTTGCTGCCATATTGTTTAGGGCCCATGGGGCCCCTGGTTGCATTGCGGCACACCGCAACCTGCTCCAGCTGCTGCAGCGCTTTTTCCCAGAGCTGAGATCTGTTTTTTCCTTGATAAAATCCTTAGCTTCGGTACTGAATCCGGAATGTAGCAGTCTGCGACTTCCAAGTGCCGAGCTGATCGGATATCTGATATCTGGTCAGCTAGCATGGGCCTGTGCCCAATGCAAGGGTTCTGGTGGTTCTCTGGCTCTCTCCAGATTCGAAAATCACACTCCAGTATCCAATCGGTGCTGAGGTGGCCATGTTGCATGCCTTGAAAAGGGACTTTGCATGCGAAGGACCCAGAGATTACATGAACCTGTCCAATCAGGAAGTGCATAGAAGATTTCAGAACATTTCCGCGGCTCGCAACAGGCGAACGTGGAATAGTTCATGAGTTTTCGCTCATTTTAGAACTAACCGGAACAGCCAATGGCGCGCAGCCTTTGATCCGGCCAACTTTCGCCGAGCTGGCAATAAAAACCAACTCCCAAGGGTTCAGTTGCTCATAATTGGAGGAGAGGAGCACGCTAGCGAGAGTTACTCTCCAGATTGTGCAAATGATGCTCATTGGCGGCTAGAGCCCTACTTAGTGGGCTTGAAACAGGGGTAAAAGCACATACACTTGAAAGTTTCTTTTCTGGTTGCGGTGACTGCAAGGGCTGCACACAATATGAATTATGAACCAGCTGTTGTGGAGAAGCTTAGCTTGACAATCTGAGCTGGACACATATTTGCCATTGGGGATACGCCTGATCTTGGGGCTGAGATGAAGCAGATAACCGTCTCACATGGAGACGCCATCACTAGCCCGCAGACTGCATCGACCTCATCACCGTCCAACTTGAAAACAGATGAGGTCAGTTAAGGAGGCACCTTGCTGCATCTGTGCGGAGGCTTAACAGTTGGAACACGCATATTTGATCCACCAACCTTGAATCAGGTTTGCATGTCCTCTGGTTCAATGCAAATCAGACTGTTTGTGAAAGGAGCATGGCTTTGAAGGATCAATGTAGTAAGTTGGCTTGCTGGTGGTCTTAGACTGCGTTGTCCTGTTAAGCTCCAATCAATGGGTTTTTTGTTGGTGGGACTTGTTTAATTCTTGAGGCCTTTGTTTGTAGCAGCTCAACTCTTGATGTGCCAATGATGATGAGAGTTACCTGCTATGAGTGACCTTTCTTCAGTTGACTTGCTTTTGCAAGATGCAACTATTCAATGACAAAGACAACCCATTGGAAATAGAGTGGGCACAAACATAACACCGGTGATACAAAACATGCTGACGTCAGCATCCAGAACATTTGTGAAGATCCAAGTCATATGTCACCATTTGAACGCCTAGAAACGTCTATGCATGCATGCAGACTGCCAACTGCGCACTGCGCAGAAACTACCGTAATCGCACTCCACCAATCTCCCAGTTCAATCTCAGGAAGACCATTGTGTGTCGGGGAAGCGCTGCGGGCCCCTTGATGGGGAATGCAACAGGCAAGGACGCTTGGGGAAGGACGACAGGTCGCTGGAGAGCCTAGTAGAGCTGCCTAGGTTTGCCGTTGCTCCTTCCAATCCTGGAGAGCATCTTCCAATCTGCCCTCCGACTGCATGCAGGTGGTACCGCGGGTGCTTGAAGAGGGGAAACGTAAGGGCACTTGGCGAATGATAATCGGATGTTGGTGAACCATATGAGCTGAGACGCAGATTGCTGATGCCGAGCACCTAGAACATTCATAAAGTATCCACGGTATACTGTACACGTGTCACCCGGCTCTAGCAACGTCCATGCATGCATATGTGCAGACTGCGGACTGCCGACTGCCAACTGCGAAGCGCACATTGCAGACTGCAGTCTGCAGACTGGAAGGCGGCGTAGTTCATATCCCATCCTCCAGTTCATTTCTAGACAGACCATTGCGAGTTGGGAGAAAGCCACGGGCGTCAACGAAAGGGGATGCAAGGGTGCTTGGGGAAGGATGACAGTGATTCTGGTGAGTCTGTTAAGGTTTGCCATTGCTCCTCTCCTGCTTGATAGGAGCATCAGGATGCTGATGGCTGCCTTTTGGGAGGTGATTGAGCGTGCATGTTTACATAGTTTTCAAGGTTGCTGGAGAAAGGATGACAGGATGCTGGTGAGCTAGTCTTAGGAACAGCTGGCAAGGGGGCTGCTGCAGCTGAAGTCAGTGGTGAAGATGCATGCTGTAACGGCACGACTGCGCACCGACTCCCGGCTGCGCGCCAAACTCGCGGCCGCGCATCGTCCGTTATTATACGCTATCGACTTATTGAATCACTACACGCCACGTGTCCAGGTTACTGCTTCACCGCGTGACCGTCCGATAAGACCCACGTGCACCGCGCGCCTCGGGAACCGTCCGA